GGAGGAGGATGATGATGATGAGGAGGAGGAGGAGGAGGAGGAGGAGGAGGAGATTGAAGGATGTGGAGGCGGAGGGGGTCGAGGAGGAGAAGGAGGAGCAATGACATAAACAGAATATTTCGGAGGTCCGCGCGGATGTCTTGGATCGTCACTGGATTCCCTTTTGCGACGCCTCCGGCGCCCGCCCCCCCCCCAGCGCGCTCCGCGCTCTAGGGGGGGGGGGGGTCCAGCGCGGATCGGAGACCTTCGCGCGGACCTCTGAAAATTCATGTTTATGTCAATCGGTCGCTGAAAGGCGGTATTTTCGGAACCCCAGATTCCAATCTACTTTTAAGCGCTTTCCTACTTCGATGATGGAGTGGCGTCATCTTTTCCGTCCTCTTTAGGGGGCGGGCGGACACCCAAATTACTTTCAACGCCTTCCTACCCCATCTTTCTATTTACTTCTTCCGACCGATGGGTGTGTCACTGCTCTTCCTTCGGAAACGACGTAAACTTTGGGCCGGTTGGGGGTCTGAGGTGGCTTGGCATTGGTTCTGGCGAACAGGAAGGGGGGGTCGAAACATTTGTCGTGCTTTTCCCAACGCTCCTGCGCTGGGCTCTCGTTTCGAAACGAGCACTGCGGTCGCACACGCCTCTTACCTCCCGCCCCCTTTTTTCCTTCTCTCCTGCCTGTCACCTTGCTCCTTCCTGCTTGCCAGCTTGCCTTCTACCTGGCCATCCCTGGGGGGCTGCTGTCTGCGAAAGTGTCGCCACTTTCGAGCGCCGATGGGGGATCCAGCGGAGCGACGTGCCACGCAGACTCGTATTCGACCTCACCATCCCTGTGGGCTGCGATCTGCGAACGTGTCGCCACTTTCGAGAGCTGCTGGGAGGTCCAGCGGAGCGACATGCTACGCGGACTGAGATAAAACCTCGCCATCCCAGTGGGGCTGCGTTTTGCGAAAGTGTCGCCACTTTCGAGGGCTGCTGGGGGGTCCAGCGGAGTGACGTGCTACGCAGATTGAGATTCGACCTCGCCATCCTTGGTGGTCTGCGATCTGCGAAAGTGTCGCCACTTTCGAGGGCTGCTGGGGGGTCCAGCGGAGCGACGTGTTACGCAGACTGGCTGAGATTAGACCTTGTGGGGCTTTGATCCGCGAAATTGTTTGTTGCCTTTTTCGAGGGTTGCTGCGGTGTCAGCGGAGTGACGTGCTACGCGGACTCAGACTGGACCTCGCCATCCTTGGGGGGCTGCGACCTGCGAAAGTGTCGCCACTTTCGAGGGCTGGGGGGTCCAGCGGGGTGACGTGCCACGCAGACTCGTATTCGACCTCACCATCCCTGTGGGGCTGCGATCTGCGAAATTGTCGCCACTTTGAAGGGCCGCTGGGACGTCCAGCGGAGCGACATGCTACGCGGACTGAGATTCGACCTCGCCATCCCTGGGGGGCTGCGATCTGCGAAAGTGCCGCCACGTTCGAGAGGGGGTCCAGCGGAGTGACGTGCTACGCAGACTCAGAGTAGACCTCGCCGTCATTGGGGGGCTGGGATCTGTGAAACCGTCGCCACTTCGAGGGTCCATCGGGGTGGTGTGCTACGCAGATTCAGATTAGACCTCGCCAACCCCGTGGGGCTTCGATCTGCGAAGCTGTCGCCGCGTTCGAGAGCTGCTGCTGCCGCCCCGAGTATTCGGTTCCACTCGCGTCCCTCTCAGCGCCTGGCTGCGGCTGGCTGCAGTAGCGTCGGCGCGTACTTGTCCTGCCCATGCACCTCTGACGTGCACGGCGCCTTCTTTCTCTCTCTCTCTATCTTCTCTCTTTCTCTCTCGCGTCCCTCTCATGCCCTTCGTTCCCACCCCAAGGTTTTGTTCCAGCCTGGGCCCTCACTCGTCGTCCTTCTATGGTTGTTTTTCGAGTCGTGCCATGTGCGCGTATCCCACGTAGCATGCTCACCATGTGACGGCGCCTGCACTGTCATTGTCCATGCAAGTTTGGGCCAATTCCTCTTGTCCCTTGATGCAAATGGGTTGGGTACGTTACGTTTTTTGTTTTGCCTTTTGGGGTCTCCAGGGGCCGTCTTCGGGCCCGTTAGAAACGCGGCAGGCAGGAGAAAGTGCACCAGATGGACCCACGTTAGAAACGCGGCCGGGAGGAGAAAGTGCACCAGATGGACCCCGGGAGGGGTCCGGGGGACAGATTTTGACAGGATTGGCCTTCATCCGCCATCCTTGACCGATCTTCTCGGAGCCCAACCAGCTTAGACCCAGTGGCCGCCTCACAAAAGCAGCGGCGTGGACATAAGCTTTCGGAGGTGAGGTCCGCACAGATTGATCGGGTCGGCGCCAGACCCCCCTCGGCGCCTCCGGCGCCGCATCTGGCGCGCCTCGCGCGGCAGGGAGGGCGGTCAGGCGCGGACCCAAGAAATATCCGCCCGGACCTCTGACATTTGATGCTCCTTCGGTTCTTCTCCACGGCGCCGATGCCGTTGCAGCCTTGCCTCCCTCACGGCGTCGATGCTGCTGCAGCGCAGGCCGAGGCCCGAAACAAAACACGCCCAACCGGCCACCAGCTTCGGTGGATATGCTTCGCCCCCGCAAGGATGGGCACCAGCACCGGGCGCTTGCCCAACCAGGACGACGCCGAGCCTCTGCTCGACCCCCCGCCGGCGAAGATCTCCAGCAGCGCCGGCCGCCCACCAGCGGCGCGTGGCGCTGGGGCGCCCGCGGCCGCCCTCGCCGCCGGCAGTGGCCAGCGGCCAGCGGCAGGCCCGCAGCAGCCCCGGCGGCCAGTCGAGGCGAACGCCGCCGGCCAGCTGGGCAGCGCCTTCCAGCCGCCACCGCGCAGCAGCGGCCGAGGTTCGGGGGGTGTTAGAGCTGCCCCTGGCCCAGGGTGCCCCCGGGGATTTTCGGGCAGCCCCCCCGCAGCTGCCAGAGCACCCCATCACGAGGCACGGAGGGCCCCAGGGGCTCCAGAGTCGAGCGGAAGGCTCGGGGCACCGTGGGCCAGGGACACCTTTAGCACCCCCCCGAGAGGTGGGGAAGCCGCGAGGGCCACTGAGGCATCGGTTCCGCCCAACGGGTCCTGAAGAATGGGGGCTGCAATTTCGGCGGGGCAGCCAGCCTTGATGACGCTTCCGCCCAGAGGCGCAGCAAAGCCGACCGTTATTGCTGCCATCTGGGTTGGATTCCCCGTGGTTGCAGTGGCCCTCGGCCTGTGAGGCCGATCCGGGACGCTCTTCGCGGATGTGCAGACGTGGTAAGAGCACCCTGCTGTTCCTAGGGGGTTGTGTTGAATCGTCATCGGGTTCTTTTGGCGCGCGTGCTTGTTACCTAACAGCGAAGACTGATAGGTTTCTAGCGAGGTCAAAAGAGAGCATCTTGACGCCCCAGGGGGGTCTGGGCGGGATCCGGACAGATCCGGACAAAAGTGCAGCCCCAGGAATCCTTAGGAATCCTTAGGAATTCTTAGGAATCCTTAGGAATCCATTCCCAGAACACCATTCCGTAGGAATCCTTAGGAATTCATCGGGTTCTGATGGCGCGCGCTTGTTACCTAACAGCGAAGACTGATAGGTTTCTAGTGGGCTAAAAAAAGCTCACAGATCACTCCACAGGGGGGTCCGGGCAGGTGTTGGGAGTTGCCGGGCGGCAGTGTGCCGGGCTCGTTTTTCACCAACAGTCACACACTTCGTGCTCTTCGAGTTCCCAGAACTCCATTCCCAGGCCACATGAATACCCGGATGCAACAGTCACACACTTCGTGTTCTGAATCCCGGGCCACCCGGATGCAACAGTCACACACTTCGTGCTCTTCGACATCCCAGAACGCCATTCCCGGGCCACATTTATAATAACCGGATGCAACAGTCACACACTTCGTGCTCTTCGAGTTCCCAGAATTCCATTCCCGGGCCACATTTTGGATGCCCGGAGCCAACTGTAGGCCACTTCGTGCTCTTCGAGTTCCCAGAACTCCATTCCCGGGCCACATTTTGAATGCCCGGAGCCAACTGTAGGCCACTTCGTGCTCTTCGAGTTCCCAGAACTCCATTCCCGGGCCACATTTTGAATGCCCGGAGCCAACTGTAGGCCACTTCGTGCTCTTCGAGTTCCCAGAACTCCATTCCCGGGCCACATTTTGAATGCCCGTAGCCAACTGTAGGCAACTTCGTGCTCTTCGACTTCCCAGAACTCCCATTCCTGGGCCACATTTTCAGCAGGGGCAAGAGCACGACGAGGAGGAGGACGAGCAAGACCAGGAGGACGAGGACGAGCAGGAGCAGGACGAGGAGCAGGAGGAGCAGGAGAAGAAGGACGAGCAGGAGGAGGAGGAGGACGAGCAGGAGGAGGAGGACGACCAGGAGGAGGAGGACGACCAGGAAGAGGAGGAGGAGGAGGAGGGGAGGGGGAGGAGTACCAGGAGGAGGAGGAGGAGGAGGAGGAGGAGGAGGAGGAGGAGGAGGAAGAGGAGGAGGAGGAGGAGGAGGACGAGGACGAGGAGGAGGAGGAGGAGGGGGGGGGAGAGTACCAGGAGGAGGAGAACGAGGACCACCAGGAGGAGGAGGAGGAGGAGGAGGAGGAGGAGGAGAGAACACCAGGAGGAGGAGGACGAGCAAGACGAGGAGGACGAGAACGAGGACGACCAGGAAGAGGAGGAGGAGGAGGAGGAGGGGAGGGGGAGGACTACCAGGAGGAGGAGGAGGAGGAAGAGGAGGAGGAGGACGAGGAGGAGGAGGAGGAGGACGAGGAGGAGGAGGGGGGGGGAGAGCACCAGGAGGAGGAGAACGAGGACCACCGGAGGAGGAGGAGGAGGAGGAGGAGGAGGAGGAGGAGGAGGAGAGAGCACCAGGAGGAGGAGGACGATCAAGACGAGGAGGACGAGAACGAGGACGAGCAGGAGGAAGAGGAGGAGGAGGAGGAGGAGGAGGAGCAGGAGAAAGAGGAGGAGGAGGAGGAGGCAGGCTGAGGCTGAGGCTGTGACTGCGACTGCCGTTGCCGCTGCGACTGTCATCGCGAATGCGACTACGACTGCGAGAACAGCAGAATTCGACAACTGGATGTTCATCTGAATCTTAAGGGGAATGCTTTCAGATATGCTTCTACACATTCTGGAGGGCCGGATGCAACAGTCACACACTTCGTGCTCTTCGAGTTCCCAGAACTCCATTCCTGGGCCACATTTTGGATGCCCGGAGCCAACTCTAGTCCACTGGTCTTCGAGTTCCCAGAACTCCATTCCCGGGCCACATTTTGAATAGCCAGACGCTTCATAATCCTTCCGCCACAGCCGTGTTTGGTTCAGGACTTGCTAGTGACACTGCAGTCCACTGCATTCAATCGTGCCACTGCATTCATTCACTGCAGTCCACTGAGTTTCGATTGCAATGGCGTTCCCCTGGCCGTACCCCCATGTCCAACGTTCATCCGCAGCCTCTGCTCCGCGAGGCTCGTCCGAAGTGTCGCCGCCTCGCGGTGCTTCTCAGCCTGCGCCGCCTCGCGGTGCTTCTCAGCCTGCGGAGGAAGGTGGACAGACGCCTGGTTCTGGCGCTGTGCAGCCTGCGTCTTTCACGGTCGCCTCGTTCAATTTCGGGTTCGAGCAGGGCATGATGACTGGTAAGCAGGCGGCCACTCACTGCGCTAACTTCGGAAGGTTGTGCGCCAAGATAGTGGAGACCGCTGATGCTGATATGGTCTGTGGCTGCGAGGTCGGTGCGTTCCGTGAAGGCTTTCGCCGAGCAGGGATCAACGTGACAGAGATCCTCAGTAAGCCTTTCGGTGATGGCATTCGCTTCTCGGAGGTCGACAACTACTTGACTCTCTGGGGGTTCCGCGGTGCTTCTCAGCCTGCGGAACTGACTCTGTGCGAAGACAGCAAAGTTTACAGGCCTCCTAGCGGCCGAGAGATTGATGCTGTTATTTCACATTTTGAGGTGAACAAACCAGGCCATGACAAGTTCCACGTGGTGATCGCCAACATGCACATCGTGTGCGGCAAGAAACCGCCGACCATCCAGACTCGAAAGCGGACAGTTCGCCATCTCCGCTTGCACCTGGACTGCATGGCTCAGATTCTCAATGCTTCGGAGCCGCACGTGCCAGTCGTTCTGCTTGTAGTCGGCGACGACAACCTGACTTTCCAGGAGGCGCGGGAGGCTTACCAGCGCCAGCAGAACGACGAGAAGCTCTGGGAGGTCCATGCCACTCCGGCCGACCTCAAAGGCGACCACGTCGCGGTCTGCGGAGCAGTCGCCCGTTTCTGCTCCATTGCCGTTGGCGCGTCTTTTACGGATCGTGGCATGCGCAACGACGCACACGATGCGGTGGCGGTTGTGCTCACTCTCCCTGGTGCTATTCAGCCTGGGGAGAGCAAGAGGCGGAAGATTGTCGTCGAAAACGTCTCCGACGCCGACGTCAGCGTACAGGCGGACGCCGAGTCTTCTGTGCATTGGGATCGGTCGCCGAGTTCTACTCCTCCGCTTTCACCGACTTCACCGGGTGATCCCGACTACGTCGAGGATGTCGTTCAGAATCGCGCGAACGACTTGCACAGGGAGCTGAGGCAGCTTTGGGACGACAGGTACGACGAGGAGTACGATCCGAAAGTCCTCCATCATCTCAGTCTCTTGCTTTTCAAAAAGAGGAAGTCCACGGAGCCAGCGGACACTGATCCAGCTGGCGCTCCTCAGCCTGGCTCGGAATATGACACGGCCTTTGCGTCTCAGGAGGAGACTGGCCGAGCCATTCTCTCTGTCCTTAAGCTTCGACATGACTTTCTGCGGAGCAAGAACATCGACGACATGCGCTACGTTCTCACGGAGCCTGAGCGCCAGGAATTGGTCAGAGTAGCTCGCGACCAGTACGAGCAGTCGCGGCAGCAGCGTGCGCTTCAGGAACGGGATGTCGAAAAGGGAAAAGCGAGAGGCAAGTCTGCGCCACAAGGGGGCCATGCGGTTCCGCAGGGTCCTAACAAAGGGCCAGGCGGTAAGAAAGGTTCTCACGGTGCTTCTCAGCCTGCGGGAAAAGGTGGCCAGGCCAAGGGTGCAGGTCTGGGTAGCGTCGCCAAGTTTGTGAAAGACCAGAAGCGTAAGCGGTGGCATCGCCATTTGCAACGTGTGGCCGGTACCAAACAGATCTGGGAGGTGCTGGCCTTCTCAGGGCGCTTCGACGTTGATTGGCTAACGCAAGCGTTGCAAGCTGATCACAGTGAGGGCCGTGATGCAGCAGTTCCCGAGGAAGCTCTGCGGCAACAGCGGCGCCGGCTGCACCACCAGAAGGCCGAGGCCATCGCGCGCTACAACGAGGGGGAGCGGCTTTCCCGCCATCTGTCTGCCCAGGCTGGCCAGCCAAAGCCGAACTTCACGCGCAGGCAGCTGGACGTGTTGCAGATGTTTGAGAGCGGAGCGCTGCTTCAAATCCGCAACCAAGCGATTCTGGCGTTGGGGCACGGCCGTCTGTTCAGGGCCGATGGCGACTACCTGGACATCGGCGGCAGCACGGGCGGTGGCTCCAGGCGCATCATCGATTCTTGGCAGCCGCCGGACTGGCGTGACTTCCTCCAAGACGATCAGGACATCTGAGTTTTGCAAGTCTCCCTGCCCGCGGTGCTTCTCAGCCTGCGGTCTGCCGCTCTCCAGCTGCGGTCTCGAGCAGTAGTGTTCGAAAGCATGCGAGTTCCTGCGGTGCTTCTCAGCCTGCAGGTTTCGCAGCTTGCGCTCTGCAGTACAAGTGCTTTTCAGCATGCGACATCCTGCGGTGCTTCTCAGCCTGCAGGGTTCGCAGCGTGCGGTTTGCAATGCATTCCTTTTCAGTATGCGAGTTCCTGCGGTGTTTCTCAGGTTGCAGGGCTCCGAGGCTCTTCGCTTCGATGCCAATGTTTTCAGACACCGTAGCTCCGTTCCGTAAACATCTTCCAAGAGCCGCTCGCAACCTTTTGCAGCTGGCGGTCTGCAGACGTAGTCTGTCTCAGCATGCGAGCTCCCGCACGCTTCGCCGGCTTTTGCTGCGCGGACAATTTTCTCACACACGTCAGCGCCGTTTGTAGGCGTCAGAAAAACATGTAGACATTCACGAAGGGCTCAGTCTGTATATCGTCACATCATTACATACGCAGTCGTCGAACACATCGGTGTACATTCAGCGCTTTGTCCTTCTAGCTGGGTCGCTTCGTGCTGAGGCTGAGGCTGATGCAGGCTGAGGCTGAGGCAGGCTGAGGCTGAGGCCGAGGCCGACGGCAGACTGAGGCTGAGGCTGAAGCAGGCTGAGGCTGAGGCAGAGGCAGGCTGAGGCTGAGGCTGAGGCTGAGGCAGGCTGATGCTGAGGCAGGCTGAGGCTGAGGCTGAGGCTGATGCAGGCTGAGGCTGAGGCAGGCTGAGGCTGAGGCTGAGGCCGAGGCCGAAGGCAGGACTGAGGCTGAGGCTGAAGCAGGCTGAGGCTGAGGCTGAGGCAGGCTGAGGCTGAGGCTGAGGCTGAGGCTGAGGCTGAGGCTGTGACTGCGACTGCCGTTGCCACTGCGACTGTCATCGCGAATGCGACTACGACTGCGAGAACAGCAGAATTCTACAACTGGATTCTCATCCGAATCTTAAGGGGAATGCTTCCAGATATGCTCCTACGCATGGCTGTTAGGTTGCTTTGCCGGGATATTTTTTTTTCTGGGGGGGTAGCTGAGCTCGGGCTCTGTGGGCATTATCTACTACGCCCACGGCGAATCACCGCCGCCCTTTGCCTTCGGCCCATCCCGCCACCGTGCCTGGGTCATGAGTCATAGGCCTATTAGAGGTTCGCTGGGATGTCGTAAGAGGCCTCTCGGGGGCCTCTTGTAGGCAATTTTGAAAGCTCTTGGGGGCCGTGTTGGGGCCTCTAAGGGTGCCTTGGGGGCTTCTGGGGGGCCTCTTGGGGCCTCTCGGGGCCTCCTGGGGGCAACTTGGGGCGGAAGGCTCGAATTGTCGGTTCGGGCTCCCCATCTTGGGGCCGTCTTGGGCGCCTCTTGGGCCGTCTTGGGGCCCTCTTGGGCCGTGCTGGGACCCTCTCGGGGGCCGCTTGGGCCGTCTTGGGGCGGTCTTGGGGGCCCCCTTGGGCCGTCTTGGACGCCGCGAAGGCCGAGCGTTGTTGCTGCCCTCTGGGTTGGACTCCCCTTGAGATTTCGGCTCCCTGGAGTAAATGATCGATGGCCGCCGGCGCCTGCGGCGAGCCGCCGGCGCTCCCCCCGCCCTTGTCGAGGAAGCGCCTGTGTGGTGGAATGTCGAGCGAAAGTGCGGCCATGCTACGGCAGTCGAGCGAGTCCTCGTCGTCGTCGTCGTCGTCGTCGTCGTCGTCGTCGTCGTCCACGTCGTCCACGTCGTCGTCGGTCGTCGTCCACGTCGTCCACGTCGTCGTCGTCGTCGTCGTCGTCGTCGTCGTCGTCGTCGTCGTCTTCGTCGTCGTCGTCCTCGTCGTCGTCGTCGTCGTCGGAGCGCTTGGGGGCCCAGGAGGTACGCGGAGGATGACGGCGCCGCTGCCCTCCTGCCTCCGCCCTGCGGGCCCTGCCCGCACGCTGGCACGGCAGGCTCGCGTCGTGCTGACCGTCGGCGGCCCCGCCGCGGGCGTTGAGCGTTGAGCGCCGCTGGCAACCCAGAGCCGGTCGGTGTCGAAAGATCTGACGCTGCGGAAACGTCCGATCGTTCAAGGCTGAATGATCCTCGCGGCGTCGGAAGCCCGCGCCGAAGTCGGCACGACACGAACGTGCCGCAGTGGGCTGTGAGTTCCTCCGGTCGTTGGGGACACCACAGGGGAAATACCGGTGAGGAGCCCTCTGGGGCCGTCTCGGGTATCTCTTGGAGTCCGTTTCCGGTCGTCCAGGCCTTCCAGGAGGTATCTTGGGGCTCTTCTGGGCCAGCTTGGGGCTCTCTTGGGCCGTCTCGGGAAGCTATCGGGCCCCGCCTGCCGTCTTCGGAGACCGTCCTGGATACCTGTCTGGTCCGTCTTGAGGACACCCTGGGGCTCTTCAGAGCAATACTCGGACCCTCGGGGGCCGTCTTGGGGCCTTCTTGGGCCGTCTTTGGCCTGTCTGGGGGCCGTCTGTCCTGGGGCCATCTTGGACCGTCTCAGGGGCCCTCTCGGGCCGTCTTGGGCCCCTTTCGGAGCCATCTGTGGCCTTCGGGGCGTTCGGAAGTCCGTAAAGACGAGAACGCGAAAGCCATAGAAAACATATGAGTTTGATTACCTATACCACCGATAAGGAGGTTGGGGGGGGATTGAGATCAAATGCCCTCCCTGACTGACCTCCAGCCTGTCACCTTGATCTCATTTCTCTCTTTCTCTCTGTCTCTCTCTCTCTCTCTCTCTCTGTCTCCGCCGCAAGCGCCGAAAAAAAAATGAACTATGAAATTAGCGACATGCGTTAGCGCCGGGACGCCCGGGACACCCGGGACACCCTGGACACCGCCCGGCCCAATTGGGACACCTCCCGGCCACCGGCGGACGGGAAACGGATTTTCGCTCCTATTGAAACCCGGGATACCCAGGACACCGCCCAGCCCAACTGGGACAATTCCCGGCCACCAGCGCACGGGGAACGGACTTTCGCTCCTACTTCGGCCTAGCTACAGGAGGATCACGCGCAGCTTCGCCTCGCACGCACGACACGAACACGAAACCGAAACCGAAACCGATTTCCCGGGGGGGGGTCTCCGTTTCATTGCGATCTCACCCCCCAACCTCCGACCTCGTGGCCTCGTGGAGGTCCGAATTGACGCCCGCTTGGGCTGCCATGGGCGCCTCTTGGGCAGTCTTGAGGCTATCTTGGGCCGTCTTGGGGGGCATCTCGGGCAAACGCGGAGGTCTCTTGGAGTCTTGGACCCTCTTGGGTCGTCTTGGAGGCCATCTTGGCCATCTTGGACGATGGCTTTCTAGATTTGGGAGGTAATTATTCCCGGCGGCCGACACCTTGGGCCGAAGGCCATTGGGAACCTTTCGGAAGGGCAGAACAAAAAACAGCAAGACAATCTGTCACGCCAACCTCTCCCGTTGGAAGCACAGGGGTTGGGACATCTCGTGATCCAGTGGCCTTCTCCCGGCCCGCCACCGTGACTGGATTATGGACCCAAGGCCTCTTCGATGTCTCGCGGGGTCTCTTCGGAGGCCACTGTGGGGTTCATTGGGGAGCTGCTGGCGGTCCCACAGACACTCGTCAGGTGGAGGGATCGTAATGTCAGTTCGGGCTCCCCCTCTTGAGCCCCTCCTGAGACTCTCCTGGGAGCCTCTCGGGCCTCTCTTGGGAGCTTGGGGGCCGTCTTGGGTCTATTTTGGGGGCCTCTTGGGACGTCTTGGGTCTATATTGGGGGCCTCTTGGGCCTCTTGGGCCGTCTTGGGCGTTTGCAAAACGTTCATGATTTGCACGATGTTGTCTTCTTAGGCCAGTTCCGAGGGCCTCCAATAATGTCCAGGAGGGCCCCGAGCGGCCTCCAGGACGGGCCCTGGTCATGTTGGAAGCGCATGTCCCGAACTACGCTACCAGAGCCGCTGAAAAAGCCACGCGGGGTTCGGCAAAAGTCTTGCTGGAGGCCCCAGAAATCCCGTGAGTTGGGGATGTGGGCCCCTGAAGAGTGCTCACCATCTATTTGTTCTACACAGAGAACGCGAAGGGACCTGAGGGCACTTCACCAAGTGCCTCGCGGCACTTTGGCGGACGGCCCCCTCTGTCACGAGATGATTCACTGCATTATTAGCTCGCCCGCTAAGGCACCCGTGGGTAAACCCGACGCGCCACAGGCAGCTGCGCGTACCAGCACCACCGACCTGACCGCCGGCGGCCTCGCCAGCCGCAAGCCCGCGGGCGCGGGCGCGCGCGCGCCCCGCCCGTCGCAGTCCAGCGGCCAGCCCAAAGTCCTCGACCTCCGCAGCCCTGCCAGCGCCAGGCCTGCGGGCACGCACTCGCCCCGCCCCTCGCAGCCCAGCAGCGGGCCCAGCGCCAGCAGTCAGCCTTCGCCCAAGGCCGCCGCACGCCTCTCGAGCAACCGGGGCGCTATGGCAGCAGCAGCGGCCAGGCTCCCGCAGCCAGCCAATGGCGCACGGGCCAAGGGGCCACTGAGCCCGGAGTCCGAGGCCAAGGCGGAGAGCATCCACCAGAAGTGCGCCCACGACGAGGACGAGTGGTACATCCGGGTGGACGACCCCGACCCTCAGGAGGCCGAGCTCGTGCGCGCAGCCAGCGCAGCAGGGCGTGGGATCGAGGACATTTGCCTGCTGCAGAGTGCGGCCGATCTCTGCACGTTCTTGCACAGCATCCAGGTGCCCGAGACGAGCCTCGTCCTGGTGGACACCGCGTGCCAGTGCTATGGAGCCTGGGCGTTCTCGAAAGATTTCGCCGACAAGGGCGGCGGAAACTTGTTTCCTGTGAAGGTGGCCATTACCACCGACTGCGAGGCCGCCCTGGGAGAAGGCAGCCAATCGATGCCGCCCAGCAGAAGCCCGACATCACCAAGCGGTCCAAGCCAGCAGAGCGCTACGGCGTCGCAGGTTGTGCAGCGCACCGTGGATCACGAGCGCATCCCCCACAAGGTTCGGGTGCTCCAGGACCGCGTGCCGCCAGGCGGCGCCGAGCGCGGCGCCGTCCAACCCCTCGACGCCGAGTCGCTGCGCGTGGTCTACGAGGATTCCCTCAGCACCGCTTCCGGGGAGCGCGAGGGCCTCGACGACGAGCTGCAGGCGCCCGCGGCCGACAGGGCGGCTCTGGCAGCGCCCTCAGGGCCAGAGGTGGCGCAGGCTGGCTCCCCACGGCGGTCGGCTCCGTCGGTCGACGCGGAGCGTTTCCGCGACATCGTCGAGCGCGCGGCCGGGGAGGAGCGGCGAGCGCGCAGAGGGAGGCCCCGAGATCCGACGCTCCAACAAAGTTGGAGCAGCGGTTTTGGACAGTTCTCGGCCTCCGGGGGCCGTCGCCAGGCCTCGGGAGCGTCAACACAACGACTCGGGACAAAAAGCCCGTCCCGGGGAAGTGGTCCCAGACCCCCGACGTCGTGATTTTTTCGGAACGTCGACCCCCAGCGGTCTGGACCCCTTCCCTGGGACCGGCTTCTCATCCCGAGCCGTTCTGTGACGGTCCCGAGGCCCAGCGAGGGCCCCGAGAGGCCAAGAACTGCGGAAAGGTTCCGTCTCGATGTTCTCGAGGCGCCCGTGGTCTGGGCAGGGCCCACCTGTCGGGAACGTCGGGGCAGCCGGACGTCTGGGAGGGGGGCCGGGCGCGAGGGTCGGGGCCGAGGTGCAGGGCGCTCCCGCCCTCGGGGGCCCTCGTCGTCGCGGCTGGGCGCGGCTCGAACGGCTGGTCAGCTTGGACCCCGGGAGGGGTCCCCAGGCATCGGGCGTCTCGAGAAAATCTTGACGGAGGTCGTCGTTTTCGGCCTCTCGGGGCCCTCGCCGGGCCGCGGGGCCGTCAATCAACGATTCGGGATGAGAAGCCGGCCCTGGGGAAGTGGTCGGGAGGTCGGGTGCCCGTGTCTCGAAAGGATCGAGACGTCGGATGTCTGGGTCAGGGAGGCTCGTTGGGAGCGGATTCGGGGCTGGAGGGCGGGGCGATGGGGGCCGGCCTTGCGAGAAGGCGGGGGAGGGGGGGGGGAGGGGCGCTCGGGAGGCGGGGGGCCCCTCGTGGAAGGGCTCGAGGGCTTCTCGGAGGGGCTCGGGCGCCCCCTGCCTTCTCAGCGGCCCCCTGCCTGCCAAGAGGCCCCCTGCCTGCTGAGAGGCCCCCCGCCTTCTGAGGCGCCCCCTGCCTTCCAAGACGCCTAAGGGGGGGTCCAAGACGCCGCCTGCCTTCTAAGAGGCCCCCCGCCGTCTCCGGAGGCTGGCCCTCGCGCGCTCCCCCCCCCCCCGAGTCGCCAGACCCCTCCGAAGGTCCAGGCTCTGGCCAGCTGCTCGAGCTGTGTCCAGCCGTGGCGGCGCGGAGGGCCCCCGAGGGCTGGAGGAGGAGGAGGAGGAGGAGGAGGAGGAGGAGGAGGAGGAGGAGGAGGGCCCTCGAGGGCTGGAATGCCTCGCAGTGCCTCGATCCTCGACGTTCGAGGTTCGGCCCTCGCCCCCGCCCCCCCCTGCGCGCCGCCGAAGAGGAGCGGCGAATGGGCACGGACGGGAGGCCCCACGGGCGCGGCAGCTTCGTCGGCAGCTGGGAGACCGCTGACGCGGAGTGCCCCGACTGGAACCTCGAGGAGTGGAAGAACCAAACCTGGCGGAGGAGAAGATGCCGATGCCGTTGCTCGTCCTGGGGGGCCCTCGGCGCCACGGCTGGGTTCGCCTCGGAATTCTGGTCGGAACGCTGGCCAGGAGAGGTCCGGGGCTGGGGGGCAACGGTCCCTGGGATCCGACGCTCCAAAAGAATTGGAGCAGGCGGTTTTTGTCAGTTTTCGGCCTTCGGGAGCCGTCGCCGGGCCTCTAGAGCGTCGAACAACAATTCAGGACGAACAAAACTGGTCTCGGGGAAGTGGTCTGGACCTTCAGGGCCCACGCATCGAAAAAATTGGAGCAGCTGAATGTCTGGGAGTTATGGTTATCTTTTCGCCCTCCCCAAGAAATATATACTTTCGGGAGGTCCGCGCCGATTTCTTGGGTCGGCGCTGGAACCCCCCTTGGCGGCGCCTCCGGTGCCGCCCCTGGCGCGTTCCGCGCGCCAGGGGAGGGGGGTCCAGCGCCGACCCAAGGATTCCGCGCGGGCATCCGAAAGTTTACAATGCTCATGTCGTGTCCTGTTCCTTCGAGGCGTGGCTCGGCAGTACCGCCGCCGTTGACGCCGTGGCCATGGCACTGGTGCCCCAGGAGCTTTCATGTCCAGGGGGCTCCCTCGCCTTCATCACGGCCGTGGGCTGGAATGGCAAGGAGGACCGAGAAGCGACCCGCCGCGCCATCGCGCACCAGCTGCGCCAGAACGGCATCAGCCTCAAGCTTGCCAACGCCATTGTAGACCGCGGCGTCGCCCTCGTGGACAGTGCAGCCGCCACAGGCGAGGCCCTGAACGAGAAGTTCGCTGCCGACGGGGGGTTCGAGTTCGACTTCGGCACGAAGGCGGATTTCTTCCAGGGTTTGGAGTTCCGCATCGGCCCCCCGAATTCAGACGTCATCAAAGGCATGGTCTACGACCACTGCGAAAATGTGGACTCCAAGTCTGAGTGGACGACGGGAAACTATGGCATTACCACCACGTCCAGGAATGAGTTCCTCCTGGTGCTCCAGGACGTGTTCGACCAGTTGAAGGACACCTGCAGTCTTGGAGCCACGAACGAAGAAGTGGACGAGTGGGGCCAGCAATTCGAGAAGCTCAAGGAGGAGGTCGAGAAGCTCGAGGAACCGGTGCATCTGGGGGTGGACCCGCCGCTGCAGTGGCCAGATGAGACGAAAAATACTGGAAATCCCCGGTCCACAAAGCGAGCGGAGATCCTACGTGGCTTGGCCAAAAAGAACGAGGAGCTCAGGAAGCTTGGGGAGAAGCCCCTGCTGCTGGCTGAGGCCGTCGCTCTGTGTCTGTACTCGGGCCCTCTGTTCGAGAAATACAACGCCGTGTGCCGCGGGGGTCCTCTGCAGTGCGAGCCCGAGCCCAGCAAAATGCGCGACCGGTTCCAGAGTTTGTGCGGAGGCCCTCCAGGCAGCAGCAAAGAAGTGGCGGTGAACCGGTACGCGACAACCATCCACGTGTTGGTCTCAGCGCTGGTGAAGGCCAGCAAGACGTCCAAGGCCTGCACCGTCATGCGCGGCACCACAGGCGGCCGTCTCCCGAAACAATTTTGGGAGAAGGACGACGCCGGGGTGAAGGGCGGCATCGAATACGGATTTATGAGTACAACCACGGACCGTGAAGTCGCCATGCAGTACGCGTCGGGCCAGAGCGCAGGCACCGTCTTGGAGATCCAGACCGGCATGATCGACAGGGGCGCCGAGCTGAGCTGGATCTCGCAGTACCCACATGAAAAGGAAATGTGTTTCCCGCCCCTGACCAGCATGCAAGTTCTCGGCACATCGGTCAAGGACAAGGTCCTGGTGGTCTCCCTTCGCCTGAATCTCAATCTCACCTGCTCGACTATCGAGGAGGTGATCGGGAAGAGGCGCAAGGTTCGGGGAAGAAGCAATGACATAAACATAACAACTTGGAGGTGCGCTGGACCCCAGGCGTCGGAGGCGCCGCCAGGGGGCGCCAGCGCCGATCCGAGGAATCCGCGCGGACCTCCGAGTCTTTATGTTTATGCCGTTTTTTGCCCCCCTGAAGGTGGTCAAGGACATGTGCCGGAACCTGCAGGACGAGGCGAAGCGCGAGATGAAGCGGGATGCGGCGAAGGAAGCACGGCTACAGCTCAAAGACGAGCACGTCGCAAAAATCCAGGAAGTGCTCGAAATGGCTCTCCGCGACATCTACGACCGACAGTTTGAAGTTTTCAATACCGATGAGTACTTCCAGAGCTCCTTGAAGGTCGCGCTGGAGTGCAAGAGGGTGGCGCTGCAAGCTACAGGACTGGCGGCCTCCAGAAGCGAAGCCAACAGACGGTGCATGGAACTGATCTCTCACGCCAAATCCCGCATCGATTGCGACAGCAGGTGCGAGGCGGAGGCGGTTGTAGGCCTGTTGCTGCGTTTGACGCAAATCCCGGACCAGCAGGTCCGCAGCAACGTGTTCGCGGCCATAGCCTTCGGCCGCACGCTCGAAGAGCTCATCGCCCTCGCCAAGGCCGGCGGCGGCCTCGGGGTGCTGACAGATTGGCTCCGCCGTGCGAAAAACATTGGCGAGGTCGTGCGCGAGGAGTTCGCCGTCCTGGCCTTGGCATTCTTTGGCGGCCCCAAGGCGCTCGGGACGGCCATCGAGCCGCTTGTGAATCTGGCCCAGGACAAGGAGCCGCGGATGGCAATAGCAAAGGGGGCAGCTCCTTTCGCCCGCCCAGCCGCGCTTGGCACTGAGGTCATGGTGGTCGGGAGTCTTCGGGCACTCTTGGGCGCCAGCTGGGCCGTTTGGGGGCCATCTTGGGGGCCTTTCGTCCCTTCTAGGGGCGATATTTTGGGGCTCTTGGGCGCTCTTAGGGCCGATAAGGCGAACATGCTAAACATCTGCTCTTACCCAAGGAGCTGGGGCGATATTTGCCTCTTGGGGCCCACTTGGAGTCCTACGCCTACTACGGCTACTACTACGGCTGTTATTCTCATCGTTACGCTTACTACGCTTACTACGATTACTACTACTACTACTACTACTACTACTACTACTACTACTACTACTACTACTACTACTACTACTACTACTACTACTACTACTACTACTACTACTACTACTACTACTACTACTACTACTACTACTACTACTACTACTACTACTACTACTACTACTACTACTACTACTACTACTACTACTACTACTACTACTACTACTACTACTACTACTACTACTACTACTACTACTACTACTACTACTACTACTACTACTACTACTATTACGATTACTACTACTACTTCTACTTCTACTACTACTTCTACTACTACTACTACTACTACTACTACTACTACTACTACTACTGCTACTACTACTACTACGACTACGACGACTACTACTACTACTACTACTACTACTACTACTACTACTACTACTACTACTACTACTTTTTCTACTACTACTACTCTTATTACTACCGCTACCACTATCGCCATACATACTATTACTGACACTATTATTACTACTACTACTACTACTACTACTACTACTACTATTACAACTACTGCTACTGCTGCTACTACTACTACTAGTACTCCTATCTCGATTAGTATTACTGCTACTACTACTACTACTACTACTATTACGACGACGGCGACGACTACTACTACGACTACTACTACTACTACTACTACTACTACTACTACGACTACTACTACTACTACCACTACTACCACTACTACTACTACCACTACCACTGCGATTACTACTACTATTATTACTACTAGTATTGATATTACGACTAGTACTACAAGTACTACTACTACTACTACTACCACTACTACTACTACTACTACTACTACTACTACTACTACTACTAGTACTATTACGACTACTACGACTACTGCCACTACGACGACTTCTATAATTACCACCACTACTACGACGGCCACTACTACTCCTACTATCACTATTACTACTACTACGACTACTGCTACTACTACTTCTACGACGACTACTGCAACTACTACTACTACCACTACGACGACGACGACGACGACGACGACTACTACTACTACTACTACTGCTACTACTACTAGTACTACTACTTGTACTGTTGCTACTACTACTACTACTGCTCTTGCTATTTTTACGATTATGACGACGACTACAATACTACTACTACTACTACTACGATTACAACAACAACAACTACTACTACTACTACTACTAATGACTACTACTACTACTACTAGCATACGACGGCTACTAATTACTATTACTACTACTACTACGACTACTACTACTACTACTACTACTACTATTACTACTACTACTACTACTACTACTACTACTACTACCGTTACTAGTATTACTACTACGACTACTACTTTGCCAATGTGTATCGCTACTGCTACTACTACTATCAGTACTACTACTACTACTACTACTACTACTACTACTGCTATTGCTACTACTACTACTACTAGTACTACTGCTACTAGCAACACTACTAGTACTACTGCTCCCACTACTGCTGCTACTATTGCTATGTCCAGTTCTACTGTTATTCCGACTACTACTACTACTACTACCACTACTATTACTATTACTACTATTACTACTACTACTACTAGTAGTAGTAGTACTACTACTACTACTACTACTACTACTACTAGTACTACTACTACTACTATTACGGCTACTACTACTACTGCTGTTGCTGCTACCACGACTACTATTGCTACTACTACTACTACTACTACTATTACCACGTTGACTACTACTACTACTACTACTACTACTACTACTACTACTACTGCTATGTACCGCTACTCCTGCTACTAATGCTGATACCCGTATTACTATTACTACTATTGCCACGGCTACGAAGACTACCACTTCTACGACTACTGATACTACTATTGTTACTACTACTACTACTACTTCTACGACTACCCCTGCTACTAATACTGCTAGTACTTCTACGACTACTCCTGCTACTAATTACTAACACCTGTCCTACTATTGTTACGGCTACGAAGGCTACTACTCCTACGACTACTAGTATTACTGCTGATACTACTACTACTACCACTACTGCTACTACTGGTACCATTACTACTACTACTACTACTACTACTACTACTACTACTACTACTACTACTACTACTACTACCACGACCACTACCACTACCACTACTACTGATACTACGCCTACTACTACTACTACTACTACTACTACTACTACTACTACTTCTATTACTACTACTACTACTACTACTACTACTACTACTACTAGTACAACTACTACCGCCACTACTACTACCGCTACTACTGCTACTGCTACTATTACTACTACTTCTACTACTACTATTACTACTACTGAGGCTACCACTAGTGTGACTGATGCTGCTGCTTCTATTAAGACGATGGCTATCGCCACGGCACCTCCTGCGGCTACTGCCTCTACTGTCACCAGCAGCACCACTACTACAACTATTACGGGTACTACGCTTACGATTGCTACGGCTACCGCTGGTATTGCTACTACTCCTAGTACTACAACTACTACTCCTACCACTACGGCGACGACTACTACTACTACTACTAATACTGCTGCTACTACTACTACTACTACTACTACTACTACTACTACTACGGCTACCTACTCTTCGTCTTATACTTACATCCCTGCTCCCACTCCTACCACTAATATTAAGACGACGACGACTACTACGACTACGACTACTACTACCACTGCTACTACTACTACTACTGCGACGACCGTTCCTATAACGTTTGCCATCGCCACGACCGAATACGGACACTATTCTTATTAGTGTTGCGGCTGGTACCACCTTCATCAGTATTATTACTACTACTACTACTAGTACTCGTACCACCTGCTGCTACTACTACTACTACGGCTACTACTACTACTACTACTACTACGACGGCTACTAATACTACTACCATAAATTCTATTACTACTATTATTTCTACTACTACTACTACTACAACTACTACTGCTACTACGACGACGACTACAACGATTACTATTGCTACGACTACACCTACTACTACTACTACTACTACTACTACTACTACTACTACTACTACTACTACTACTACTAGTACTACTACTACGACTACTACGACTACTACGACTACTTCTACTACTACTACTACTACTACCACTACTGCTACTTCTGCTATTACTACTACTACGACTATTCATATCACTGTTGTAGCGACTACGGCTGCGACTACTACGGTTACCAGTGCCACTACTACTACTATTACTACTACTACGATTACTACTACTACTACTACTACTACTACTACTACTACTACGACTACTACTACTACTACTACTACTACTACTACTACTGCTACTACTACTACGACTACGACTACTACTACTGCTACGACGACTCCTGCCACCACTCCTGCGACTACGACTACTACTAGGACTACTACTACGACTACTACTACTACTACTACTACTACTACTACGACTACTACTATTACTACAGCGAGTTTTATTCTTACTACTACGACTACTATGGCTACGTCCACTATTACTCTTACTACTACAGTTCTTACTCCTACTACAGCTACTACTACTACTACTACTACTACTACTACTACTACTACCAGTACCACTACTATTACGAGTACTACTACTACTACTACCACGACTACTACTACTACTACTACTACTACTACTACTACTACTTCTACAACTATCAGTTCTGCGAATACTACTACAAGTACCACTATTACTACTTCTACGACTACTTCTACTAGTACTATTACTGCTACTACGACTTCTACCACTACGACTACTATTTTTTGCGACGGTGACGACTACCACAATTATTATTAGTAGTAGTACTAGTACCATTACTACTACTACTACTACTACTACTACTACTACTACTACTACTTCTACAGCTACTACTACTACTACTTCTACTACTATTACTAGTACTACTACTACCACCACTACTACTCCGACTACTACTACTACCACTACTACTACTACTACGACGACTACTACTACTACTACTACCACTACTACGACTACTACTACGTCTACTACTACTACGTTTACTACTACTACTCCTGCTACTACTACTACTACTACTACTACTACTACTACTACTACTACTTCTTCTACTACGACTATTACTACCACTACTTCTACTACTACTACTACCACTACTACTAGTTCGACGATGATGACGACGACTACTTCTACTACTGCCCCTACTGCTGGCACTACTACTACGACGACTGCTTCGTCACAACAACAAACATGATCACGAATAGTTGTTTCTCCAGGTAGCCCAGGCGATTGTGGTGCGAAATCTAGGGCGTCTCTTTAAGGGATCGCTTTGAGGTCTGAGAAATTGAAGCTCGGCAAAATGTTGACGATTCCTAATCGGGTGCCAGCCGGAGAATCATCACATCTCCAGAATCGCATCGGGATCCAGAAGTCAACCCAGAGAACCAACCCTTTTCCTGGAGAGTCAACCCTGTTCCCCGAGAACAAACCTCTCGCCTGAGGAGGGCCCCCCACTCCTCCTCCGAGTGATGACGATGAACAGCAAGCGGAGGAGAGGAGGAGGAGGCCTCGAGGAGGAGGCGGGCAAGGGCGAGCAGGGACGAGGGTGGGAGCAGGGGTAGGAACGGAG